TACCATAACAATGGCATATCATAGGCAGATGAGCCAGATGCCATGTCATTTTCTTAAATTCCAAGACATATGATTCAATGGAGATGTGCTTCTCTCTACCTGGATTTTCTATCTGATATTCTCAAGGGAAGGGAGAAACAACTAAAAGAAATTACAGATACAAAAGAGAAGTTGTATCAATCACTACAATCACAAGGATTGCAATGAATGAAGAGGTAAATGTATTCTCTGAAACAGTGCACTATGTGACATTGAAGCTCTGTGGCTCCTTGAAGAATTTCTAAACTTACCTGATCTTTTTTTTTTTTTTTAAGTTTTCAAGATTCAACTTGGATCCTTATTAAAATCTCAGGCCCCATTCCAGCAGATTTTGGTTGGGGTTCAGAAATTAGTACTTTTAACAGAAATATTTAATGCTTATGAACATTTATCTTTGAGGAACTTTGCTGTATAGGTTGAGTGTAGGCTCTAGAGTCAGACTTCACAGGGTTACTTTATGGCTCTTCTACATTTGGAAAATTACACGACTGCTCTGCATTTCTGTGCTCTCACAGGTAAAACAGGGGGTACAATTATTAATTTATGTAAATTTTTCCTGTCTAAATGCTTGTAAAGTATATTTGGTGAGTGATATATTATTATTGTTGTTATTGTTGTTAAGAACATGCCCTGGCTGAACTGTACCAAATGCCTCTGAATCATGTCAATATACTGTTAAATAGTAAACATAACTGCCGTAACTAAGATGTTTTAAATGCCAAGCAAATACATTCAATTTTTTAACTAAATACCCCCAAGGTGTCTTTGTCTAACTATAAATTATTTAAGTATTTACACTGAACCAGGGCAAAAAGAAAACCACAATCTTGGGTTCTTCTTAAAATATGCTGAGTGGAAATAGGCTCATTAGCAGAGTCACTGTGTCCCTTACACTTACAAATTATATTATACATTTATGAAGGACAGAACTATCGTTTTTGTCAAAATGGACAAGTAGTACTTGATTAAGTAATCTCAAAGAAACATAGTCAGGCTCCTTGTTTGACTCTGAACTTACGTTAGGCCTATAGATAAAAAAGGGGGAAACTACAGGGCAGGAGTAAAGCTATGGGGAAAGTTAATCTGTGGATGAGAAGAAAAGATGACATAGTTTGGATCAAAGTTATAAAAGAAAGAGAGCAGAAAGTTAAGTGAATAAAAGAGAATTGGTAGAAAATCGGAATACAATGTGGGAAAAACTAAGAAAAGGGACTGGCTTCTTTGGCTGGTACAGTGGGTGGCTACTCATAAGTAGCTCAACTTGGCAGAAATTAAGCCCAAAACTTTTTCCATTGCTCTGGCTCTGATGCTTGGCATCAGAGACCCTTCCTTTTTCTTAGAGATTTTTTTCTCAGCCAAAAAGTTATCCCCCTATCTAAGCATCAGATTAAATTGTAGAACAATATGTGTAGCAGATCAAGTACTAAGAGCACACTAACGTTATCAGAAAATCTGAGAACCCTTGGCACCTGAGGTAGGCCAGGAAAACCATCTGGAGAAGAAAGAGGATAAGATAATAAGGAATTCAGAAGTCCTCTTCATAATTTGACTTAAGTCAGAAAACTGACCAAGGACATAGACTGGTCTCATGAATCAGTGTGTAAGGTACAAACGACAAAAGTGTCATGGTTATCTCACACAGGTAAAGTTCAATAGTTCAAGTTGGGCTTGGTGGCTCAGCCTGTAATCCCGCGCCTTTGGGAGGCTGAGGTGAGTGGATTGACGGAGCCCGCGGGTTCGAAACCTGCCTGGGCAGTGAGACCTCATCTCTACAATAAATCAAAAAATTAGCCGGGCATGGTAGCGTGCACCTGTAGTTCCAGCTACTTGGAAGGCTGAGGCGGAAGGATCACCGAAGCCCAGCAGGTTGAGGCTGCGGTGGCCGGGAGCAGCCACTGCACTCCAGTCTGGGTGACAGAGTGAGATTCCAACTCAAAAAAAAAAAAAAAAGTTCAATAGTTCTGAGAACCAGATGTCAATTAAATTGTTTTTATCTAAACATTGTATAAACCACTGTTTATATGATTCTGTGATACACCAAGCCACTGCCTACCTAGGTAACATGCTCACAGAGAGCACTGTGAATCTCACCAGTAACACAGTACATGGATTAACTGCTCTCACCAGGGCACTTGACACTTACAGTCAGAAAACAACCAGCGTTCAGAAAACATGCATTGAACATCTGCAGTATTCCAGGAGTTGGCTTCATAAAATTGTTATTAAAGCCATTCACCTTCTTTTCTCTTTTCATTTTATTTTTTCCCTAGCATAATCATATAGAAGCTACTTTCAATATGCAATATCTCTCTTCCTCCCACTCTGCTCCAGAAACTCTGATTCCTAACCCAACAAAGTTGCCCATAGCTGCTGCTATCTCATTCTCTATTGTTTCTCTGCTTCATTACACACAGTGTTCCTGACACCTGGGGTTCCTTCTCTCCGATGGGAAAGCTCCTACTCATTCTCTAAGACACAGTTAACATGTCATCTTCATCACAAAGGATCCTCTTACTTCTTTGTCACTTTTGGATAATTTTTTCAATTTAAAAAATCCTACATTTTATTATAATAGTGGCACATCTGTTTTCTTCAAGCTTACTGAGGTCTCTAGACTTGTTTGTTCAGCATAGGCACTGAACTCCATTGGCATATGTAGAGTAGACAAATGACTAAATAGATGAGTAACATGAGTAAAGAAAAAATAAAGGATTAATTTTTAAATTTGTTAGAATATAATACATGGATATATAAATCTTGAATCTACTCAATTGACCATAAGTATTCATTAAATCTAATAGATGACTACACAGTCATATAGAAATGTATAATTTCAGATGAACCTTATAAAAATAAGAAGAGTCACATTTTTATTGTTCTGTAAATAATTTGCAGTAATACTGGGTGTAGTTGAAAGATACATCAAGTGGAATTTCAAGACTTCTTTGACTTACCATGTGAACTACCACTTACAGTGTGTCTTGCTGTCTAAACATGTCAAAGTCATTTAACCACAATGAGCTTCATTTTCTTACGTATGTAATGCGAATATTGTACTACATTCATGTTTCTCAACCTAGTCTCATTATAAAAATCATCTGGAGAATGTCATTCAGTAGATTGGGAAAAGAATATAGGAACATATATTTATAACAATCACTCTAGTTTTTTTTTATTAGATAAGTTTAGGAAGCTCCAGAATATAAGTCCCATGAAATTCTAAGGATCAAATATTGTATTATTAACTTCTCAGAATCTATAAGACAGAAAACATGCAAATAAAATTCAATTTGTTGCACAATTACTGATCTCAAAGCACAAGGATAGGCAGTCTTAACTGTTCAAAATATTTAAGAAAAAAAGCAGAATCCTTCTTCTGCAAAAGTTAACTATATAGAGAGGTGAACAATGGTATATTTGCCAACAAACATTTGTGTTACAAGGCAGACGGCAACATACACCTGGGAGAACCAAAGAGTAGACAGCATGTGAGCTGGGCCTTTGAAAGTGGACAATGACGCTTCTGCAATTTACATAAAACTAAACTGCTAAGCTTCTCCATAACTGTTTTTTAAAAAAAATATGCTTCCTACCCAGAACTATTCACCATCCTCACCCCAACCATCTCACTCACCAGCTATAAGTTCTTGTGATTAATATTACTTTTTAATTGTGCTCTAGAGGTACAGGTGAACCTGCAAGAAACAGGAGAGTCACTCAGATTGTGTAAATGTAAACAGCTCTGAGAGTAATAAGGAATCAGAACATACTGACGCTGCCACTTATGCAAAGTAAATTTTAGTATGCCTAATGCAAACATTGTTCAACACTGTAGCCAGGCAGTGTTCTAAAAATCTCTGTCCCCATTAATTCTTTTAATCTGTACATTGCCTTTATGTGGTTGGTATGTTCTAGCCCTGTTTTATGAAGGAAAGAAGAGAGACACAGAAAGATGACCCAACTTGACCAAGGTCATCAGGCTGGAGACCATTATCATTTGATAAAAGGAGCTTCAATCACTAATCCTCTGGAGGCTGTCCTTTTAACTGATCCACAATATTGCCTCTGCTTCTAATTCTACAAAGTATTGTCAAACAGAAGTGATTCTATCATTTAAAATAAATCACCTCTTGCGAACTGAATTCTAACAATCTCCTCTATCATGAACTTGTGCTTTCCTTGTCTAGCATTAACTAGTACCTCAAATTACCTCAATGATGAATTCAGACTTCATGCAGGTTAGGGCACCTTGTGTGAAATATAAACAATCACATTTGTGGGTTTCCTCCCTGAATGCCAATTGCATGGTTAGTCATTTTGTTCTAGTTCAGCAGATGTACGAGATGCTTGAGTTGAGATTAGAGGTAAGAAGACTCATGGAGAAATGAGGAAAGTTCCTCTGTGGCAAGAAAAATGGTGAAACCCAGACCATACTTGATTCTGAAAATACTTTTCTCCCCTCAGGTTATGAAGGCCTTTACTTTTTATCTTTAAAAGAATCTTCATTTTCTAGAATACCTCTAATACTGAGTAAAAATATTGCCTTTTCAAAGTCTAAAATTACTATAACTCATCTGTTGAAGTTTTGTTATAAAGGACCTAAAGGTGGTAACTGAGTTAGCTATTTAATAAATTAATGTAATACATTTTTTGTCACATTGAATGACTTTTTGTTAATATAACATTAGAATGTTCCCATGTTCCTGTTTTGTTACTATCTGTGACCACAGTTTGTAACAGTAGGTATGTATGCTTACTAAGTAATTCATGACATTAAATACTGAAAATCTTGTATGTTGAGAAATCATTTATAATAGTGAAGAGACCACAGCAAAAAAAGAAGTGGGCATGAATATATTCAGAGGCAACCTGGGAGTAAGGAGGTAGACCAGTTGTACAGTAACACACCATCAGATAAAATAATCTTCTTGCCTGTGTTTTCAGAGCAATGGTGTTCAGCCATGGAAAGAAACAATGAAACTATCACCACAGATTTCATTCTCCTGGGGCTCTGGCCTGAGTTCAGTCACCTTGTTATCCTCATCTGCATCATTCTTCTGGTCTACTTTGTGGCTGTCTTGGGCAATGTTTTTCTCATTCTCCTCATCTGGCTGGATTCCAGACTTCACTCCCCCATGTATTTCCTGCTCAGTCAGCTTTCCCTCATTGACTTGGCTTTGATCTCAACTTCTGTCCCCAAAATGGTCACAAACTTCTTCTCAGGAAAAAGAACTATATCACAGGTTGGTTGTGGAGCCCAGATCTTCTTCAGCTTAACTCTGGGTATTGCTGAGTGTCTCCTGCTGACCCTTATGTCCTATGACCGCTACATCGCTATCTGTAACCCACTGAGGTATTCAGTCATCATGAGCCACACCATCTGTATACAGATGGTCATTGGGTCCTGGGGAGGAGGGTCAGTAACTTCCCTGGTTCACACAGCTTATGCCATGCACTTCCCCATTTGTCATCCCCGAGAAATCCCACACTTTTTGTGTGAAGTCATGGCTCTTCTAAAGCTTACTTGTGAGGACATTTCAGTTTATGTGAAGTCAGTTGTTGTCTCAAGCTTTCTGGTCGTTCTTATTCCTCTAAGTCTCATTCTGGTCTCTTATACCCTCATTTTCCTTGCCATCCTCGGCATGAATTCCCCTGAGGGCAGGAACAAGGCTCTGGCCACCTGTTCCTCCCACCTTTGTGTGGTTAGTCTTTACTTTGGGCCTGCTATTTTGGTCTACATGAGACCTGGCTCCTTTAACACCCCCAAATTGAATGAGTCTCTCTTTATGTTTAATGCTATCCTTACTCCTATGCTTAACCCTCTCATATATAGCCTGAGAAACAAAGTTGTCATAGCAGCAGTGAAAAATATAGTCATTAGTAAATGGCCCCTGAGAAAGATAAAAAGTCACCTGGGTTACTGTATGTGATTATTTTATCTCATGTTAGCATATCCCTTTCTTTTTTTTCTTTTTTTCTTTTTTTTGAGTTGGAGTCTCACTCTGTCGCCAGACTGGAGTGCAGTGGCCGCTTCTGGCCACCGCAGCCTCTACCTGCTGAGCTCCGGCGATCCTTCCGCCTCAGCCTTCCAAGTAGCTGGACCTACAGGTGCACGCTACCACACCCGGCTAATTTTTTGATTTATTGTAGAGATGAGGTCTCGCCAAGTTGCCCAGGCGGGTCTCAAACCCGCGGGCTCAGGCAATCCACTCACCTCGGCCTCCCAAAGCGCGGGATTACAGGCTGAGCCACTGAGCCCGGCAGCATATCCCTTTCAATTGCTTTCAAGTCTTTAGGATTTGACAAATTTTGTCATTAGATTCATAGAAATATTAGATATCATGTGCTTTAACCCTCTTTTGTAATGACAAGTGTTTAGTTAATTCAACAGAAATGTATTATATATTGTGAATATATATGTACTGAAATTAGAGCACCTAAATGTATAAAGCAAATATTGGAAGAATTGAAGGCAGTAATTGACAGCAATACAACAAGAGCAGGGAATTCAAAGTCCAAATACATTAAGTGGATTGAACAGCCAGATAGAATATCAATAAATACCTGACTTGTATAAACCAAATGAACCTAACAGATATATACAGACTTTACACCCAATAGATGAAAATATACATTCTTCTCAAGAGGACATGGAAGATTCCTCAGGATAGACCATATGCTAGATAACAAAACAAGTTTTTTTAAAAATAGGAAAGTTAAAATAATTTCAACTCTCTTCTTCAATCACAATGCAAGAGGAAGGTCACAAATACATAAACCCAAACAACACACTTTTCAGCAATCATCATGTTGAATAGGAAATCTAAAGATAAATTTTACAGTCTTTCAAAATAAGTAAAAATGGAACACAATATACAAAACATATGCAGCAAAATCATTAATAAGAGGGAATTTAAAAACAATAAATATTACATTAACAAAGAAGAAAATTTCCTCCAAAAACAACATAAGGTTAAACTTCAAAGAACTAAAAAAAATTGAAGCCCAACATTACCACAAAGTTATCACAAGGAAGGAAATATGAAAATTGGAGCAGAAATGCAAATCAGAGAAGAAAAAATAGAAAAATAAAACAAAACGAAAGTTGTTTTGTAGAAAGATAAGCGAAAGGATTAACAAATCCTTAGCTATACTAAAAAAAAAAGAGAGAAGACTAAATAGAATAAAAAATGAAAGTGGAGACATTACATTGTAGGCCTCAGAAATAAAAAAGATAATAGCCTATTATGAGCAACCACATGCCAACAAACTAGAGAGCCTAAAAGAAGTGAATAAATTCTTAGACACAAATGAACTGTCAAAACTGAAGAAGACATAGAAAGCCTAAACAGATCCGTGACAGATACAGAGACTGAATCAGTAATCAACCTTCCAAACAAGAACATCCCAAGACCAGAAGCCTTCATAGCTGAGTTACACTAAACATGAAAAGAAGATGAATCAAATAATAACAATCCTTCTAAACTCTTTCAAAAAATATGAGAGGGAACACATCCAAACTTATGAGGCCAGCATCACGCTGATACCAAAACCAGGCAAAGATACTACAAGAAAAGAAACCAAAAGCCAATTTCTCTGATAAACATGGATCCATTGTCTCTTGAGAATACTATCAAGCCAAATTCAACAGCACATTAAAAACATCATACCATGACCATGTGGCATTTATCCCAGGGATGAAAGGATGGTTTAACATACACAGATCAATCATCATGAAACAGTACATTAACAAAATGAAAAAAAAAACAACCCTTGATTTTCTAAATAGATAAAGAAAATGCATTTGACAAAATTCAACACACATTCCTGAGTTAGACTCTTAGCAAAATAGACATAGAAGGCTGTACATCAACACCATAAAGACCGTATGTGAAAAGTCTATAGTAAACATTATAATCAATGAGGAAAAACTGAAGACTTTCCCTTTAGAATGTGGTACAAGGTAAGAATGCCACTTTCACCACTTTTCAACATAGTTTAGGGAGTCCTAGCCACAAAAATTAGGCAAGAAAAAGAGGTACAAAAATCCAGTTAGGAAAGGAAAAAGTAAAATTGTCTCTGTATATGACACGATCTTATATGTGCAAAACCTAATAGATCTAAAATTGTTAGAACGATAAACAAAATCAGTAAAGTTGCAGGATACAAAATCAACATATAAAAATCCATAATGTTTTGACAAAAGAAACAATCTAAAAAGGAAATTTTTAAAAATTGCATTTACAATAACAGCAAAAAAGAATAAATACTTAGAAATAAACATAACCAAAAAGGTAAAGAATTGTACACTAAAAATTATAAAATATTGATAAAGGAAATAAAAGAAGACACAGATTAATGGAAAGACACCTCATATTAGTGGGTTGGAAGACAGTATTATTAAAATTTTATTAAATTGAATCTATAGATTGTTACTGCTCAACACGATCTGCAGATTCAATGCAATTCCTATCAACCTCCCAATGGCATCAATTATAGAAATAGAAAAAAAGAGTCTTAAAATTAATGTGTGGGCAACCCCTTCGGGTCTTCTCCCACTGTGGGAACTTTTCTGTTCTCTCAATAAATCCTGCTTTCTCACACACACACAGAAAATTAACATGCAACCACAAAAGGTTCCAAGAATCCAAAGATAATTTGAGCAAGAAGAACAAAGCCAAATGCATCACATCTCCCAATTTCAGATTATAATGCTGGCATTAAAAAAAAGGATTTCAATGGAATAGAATAGAGAGCTATAAACTAAAACCATTCTTCTATAGTCAGTTGATCTTCTACAAGGGTGTCATGAACATACAGTAGGAAAAATAACAGTCTTTTCAATAAAAAGTATTGGGAAAGCTGGATATCTGCATGAAAAAGAATGAACAAGGATCCACATGAAGAAGAATGAGCAAGAATTCTTGTCCCAAAACATATACAAACTTAAAATAAATACATATACCTACACAACTCAAATACAAATGCATAAACAACTCAAAATAAATTAAAGATTTAGATATAAGACCTGAGACTGAAAAACTAAGGGAAGAAATCATATGGAACATGCTTCTTGACATTGGTCTGTGCAATGACTTATTTAGATATAATCCCCAAAGCACAAGAGACAAAAGGAAAAATAGACAAAATTAAATCAAACTGAAAAACCTCTGCAAAGCAAAGACAAGAATTATTCAGTTCAATGAAAAGGCAATCTATGGGATGAAAGAAAAGATTTACAAACCATATATCTGATAAGGTTTTAAAATAAAAAATACACAACTCAATAGCAAAAAATAACCCAATTTAAAAATGGGCAAAACATTTGAATAAACATTTCTCAAAAGAAGGTATACAAATGGCCAACAAATATTTGAAAAAATGTTCAACATCAAGTATCAGGGAAATTAAAATTAAAATCATGTTGTGACATCACTACACACTTGTTAGAATGGCAATTAACAGGGAAATGAGCCTAGTTGTGGTGATTCAGGCCTCTAATCCCAGAACTTTGGGAGATGGAGATGAGAGGATTATCTGAGCCCAGGGGTTTGAGACCAGCCTGGGCAATTTAGCGAGTCTTTGCCTCTACAATAAACAAATAATTTAGTCAGGGGTGGTGACGCATGCCTCTACAATAAACAAATAATTTAGTCAGCGGTGGTGCGTATGCCTGTGGAAGGCTAAGGCGGAAGGATCACCTGAACCCAGCAAGGCTTCAGTGGCCATGAGTGTGCCACTGCACTCTAGTGTAGGCAACAGAGTGAGACTCCAATCTAAAAAAACAAAAACCGAAATCACCAGGGAAATGAGAGATAAGCATTGGCTAGGATATGGAGAAAAGGGAGTCCTCATCCACTGTGAGTAGGAATGTAAGTTGGTTCAACCATTACGGCAAAAAGTATTGAGCTTCGTCAGATAGTTAAATTTAAAATTTTTTTATTGTTTAGCAATTCCACTTCTGGATATATATTAAAAAGAAATGAAATCAAGATCTCGCACAGATGTCTACACTCCTCCATTCATATCAGCATTATTCACAATAGCAAGGATTTGAAAACTGTTAAATATTCATCAGTGAATGAATGGATAAAGAATGGATACTTATATCCTTGAAAAATGATGGTTACTAGGGGCTGAGGAAGGGAGAAATGGGGAGATGTTGATCAGGGGGTATGAAGTTTCAGTTATGCAAGATAAATAGTTCTGGAGATATAATGTTTAAAAATGTGACTATAATTAATAGTACTTTATTATATACTTGAAATTTGCTTAGAGGATATATCTAAAGTGTTCTGATCACAAAAAGGTGAGATGATGAATATGAGGTAATTATTTCACTATGTAGAAGTATATAAAAACATTTAATTGTACAGCTTAAATTTGTATAATCTTTAATAGTCAAATTACCTCAATAAAAAACATATTTTTAAAAAAAAGTTGAAAGGGAAAAGCAAGAAATAATATCAAAAGAAAGAAATGAAAAAAGATTAAAGTAGAAATAAATGAAATAGAAAACAAAAAATTGTTTTTAAGATTAAGCAAGCAGAAACCTGGACTTTGAAAAGATTAGTAAGTAGACAGCTGTAGCAAGAATAACCTTTTAGAAATAAAAGCTTAAAGTAGAAGCTATTTCAGGATCAAAATAGCTTAAAATTAATAATGATCAACAAATTTACATTAACATCATATGAAGACATGTATAATTAAACATATAGATTTTATAAAACTATAAATTGGTACTGTGGTGAAATACAGTCAAAGACAACCAACACTCCAATAATTCAGTTTCATATAGTTTTTCATGTAGGTTCTCTCAAACTTTCATGAAATTATTAATTTCTCTTTTACAAGTTTTTTTTCCTCCAGAAAATAGAGTAGGAAAAATTTTGTGCTTCAATTGAAAACTATACATTATTTACACTAGAGG